GGCTTAAACAAACGTTTGAACCGCCTAGAGCTGAGTTCAGAGCTCGAACCGAACTCTTGAAGCTCAAACAGGGTAAGCGTGATGTGCACGCTTACGCACAACATATACGACATCTCACGAGTTGTATAAGTTCCAACCCGGTGGATGAACACACGTTGGTTTCGGTGCTCATGCAGGGTCTTGCGGATGGTCCCGTCAAGACTCACCTGTTCCGACTTGAACTAGATTCACTAGAACAAACCATTACCATTGTGGGACAGGAAGACTTCAGTCTGAGACAGACTCGCGCCAGCTCGACATCATATCGTCAACCGAGACGATATGACAGCGGAGGTCCAGAGCCGATGGAACTTTGTTATGTAGAGAGCGAGAAGGCTTGCTCTACAGACTACAAGAAGTTGCAGAAATGCAACAGATGTCAAAAGACAGGACACTACGCTTACGAGTGTAGTGCCCTCGTCCAGTGTCTCGCAACACTGGGCGTAGTGACCTTCCACCCATGAGAAAGGGGCAGGGACGCGGGTCCGCTGTTGGTGCAAAGATGCAACAACGGGATGGACCGTCAAAAAAACGGACAGGATCAGTAGGTGCGGAGCACCCTACTGGTCCAGCAACGTCAAGAGAATTTGTAGGCCTCTTGATGAAGGTTGCTCCCTACACACAAACGTTGTGCGTTGCTGATCTAGGTAATGAGGTCTCATTCATTACCTTGAAACTCGAAGTGACGAATAAGTTGTCCCTTCGAGCTCTAGTCAATTGTGGGGCGTCCAACAATTTTGTGCGACGCCAATCGCTAGAAGATGGTCATTTTAAGCTCAGTGAATGTGACACACCTCCTACGAGGATGACGGTACGTCTTGCGACAGGCTCATCCGTAACCGTCATAAAGCGTATAGTGAAGATCCACTATACGCTAGAAGATACCCAATATGATGATGACTTTGTCGTATTGGATTTGGATGACAACTTTGATGTCATCCTTGGAATATCGTGGCTCAGAAGGTACGAACCACGGGTAAACTGGCAACATCGAACAGTAACGATGCCTGCCGCTTGTGCATCAGATGGCCATCTGATGAACGTTTTGGAGCGTCCACAAGCGTGTGCATGTACTACGAGTGAGTGCGATGGCCTCACTTGTGGTACGGTCGTTCGTACGACTGCACAAAACCTTAGTGTTACAAACGGTTACACTTCGTTCCGGCGGCTGTGAGGAAACACAGGCTGCGCCGAAGGTCCACCACTCGAATAAGTCGAGTGGACCGGGACAAAGATGTATCCCTAGCGGGGAACATCTAGAAGAGAAACAATCGACCGCTCAGGTTAAGCGAAACGATAATCCTAGATCGACTGGAGAGTCTTTCGTAGAGGATCTCGCTGTGGTTGCACAACCACAGCTGGAAGAAGTTATGGGAATAAGTCCCGATATTATAAATACGGCGGAAACAAGTTTCCCGAAACCCGTGGGAATAAGTCCCCGGGAAGCCGAAGGAATAAGCCCTTCGAGGCCTGAGGGAATAAGTCCCCAGGAAATGACAGAGCCATTGAATGTCATAGTCAATGATGAAATCAAGCGTAGGCACTTATACACTTGATCTGATTGCGCCTCCGAAGTTGACTTTGGAGATCACTCAGTTGCCAACGCTCGAACATAAAAGGTTCTTGCGTGATCTGCGTAGTGGCAAAGTCAAGCAGATCTGCGTACTCGTCGCTGACGACGCGTGTGTAGCCGACATAAGGTCAGCAAAAATGTTTACTGAGAACGAGAGAGTTCTCGGTAATTCATCGATGGACGAGAGCGTTCCGATAAAGAGACATGAGTTGAGCGATATGACTCCCAATCGTGGGAATCGCTCAAGACAAATCCTCTTTATGAAGATTTGGTTGAATTCAAGGATGTATTCCCTGAAACTGTTCCGTGCGAATTACCGAAGGTTAAAGGTATTCGACACGAGGTCGAGCTTAAACTAGGCTCGAAGTACTGTGTCATGAAGCAGTGGCCACTGCCTCGTAAACAAGTACTTGCGATCGACAAGTTCTTTGCCGATCGTTTAGCTGCGGACCATGTGAGGGAATCAACTTCCCCACATAGCTCTCCGACCTTCTGTGTGCGAAAGGCAACAGCAGGGTGGCGGATTGTGCATGCATTTAACAAGTTGAATGCTGCAACGGTACCGGCTCAGACGCCGATACCGAGGAAGGACGTAATCATTGATGGTATGTCAAAGAGTACCATCTTTTCGTCCATGGATTTGATGGATGGATTCTATCAAATCCTTATGCGAGAACGGGACATACCCTATACCGCAGTTAGCACGCCTAGCGGCATGCTCTGGGAATGGCTAGTAATGCCACAAGGGCTTAGAAATGCCTCTGCCACGTTCAACAGATGTGTATCACATCTGTTGAGACCAGTACGAGAATTCGCGCCGAGTTATTTCGATGACGTATTCATCCATAGTCGGGCTATGTATGGAAGTCGGATGTTGAGGTTCGCAGATACCACGTCCGACAGGTTCTTACAATCATGCGAAAGCATCAATTGTATGCAAACCTCAAGAAGTGTATATTTGCAGCAAGCGAAATACCACTTCTTGGGTGCATCGTTGGTGAGGACGGTGTACGTCCTGATCCCGAAAAGATCAAGGCGATCACCAACTGGCCTGTGCCAGTTGATGTCAAAGGTCTTCGAAAATTCCTTGGGCTAGCGGCGTATTTGCACAAGTATTCACGCAATTACGCCGAGATGAATGTACACCTCTCTCGTTTGTTGAAAAAGAACGAGAGGTGGTTATGGAACGCTGAATGTCAGCTCTCCTTTGATGGTATCAATAAGAGCTTGATACAATCCCCAGTCCTAGCAATAGCCGATCAGGACAGGCCATTTCATGTGGTCTGTGATGCCAGCGATTTCGCAATCGGCTGTGCATTAATGCAGTACGATCTTGAAGGCGTTGAACGTGTCGTCTGCTATCAGTCGCGTCAGCTGCAACCAGCTGAGCGGAACTATCCAGTGCATGACAAGAAACTCCTTGCCATAATGTATGCACTCGCGAAGTTCAGAGTCTATCTATTAGGAGATAGACCCTTCATTGTTTAACACTGACCATGCGTCATTACGCACGGCAGTGAACAGCCCGCACCTTTCACAACGAATGGCGCGGTGGTTGTCATTCTTTGCAGAATACAATTTTACGGTAGAGTACAAACCAGGACGACTTAATGTCGTCGCTGATGCACTCTCACGTCGGCCCGACTTTGAACCAGTCGTGAAACCTAACAGTGAGACAGCCACTGTTGCGGTTATGACGTCGTAAGTACTATCTTCAACATTACATGATGATGTGAGGCGCGCATATGCCCAAGATGGTGAGATTGTAAAGCTGCTGACACATCTCTCACAGCCATCTCGAGAATCGTTGAAACGATTATCGTCTGCGTATCGATCTGCATCAGATCGATACACTACTCGCAACGGTTTACTGTGTCATACAGCCGTTACTGGTGACACACCACGTGTTGTCATTCCAGATGATACTGATCTGCATTTGCGGATCATGTTCGAGTATCACGATGCTCCTATAGGAGGACATCGTGGCCGGGAGAAAACGTATCTCACGGTGAGTCAAGACTTTTACTGGCCCCGCCAGTATCAGTTTGTGCGAAAGTACGTTCGCGCATGCAAAGTCTGTCAACGAGTGAAGTCAAGTCCATCACCGCGTGCACCTTTATAGCCTCTACCAGTTCCGGCTAAGTGCTGGGAATCCATCTCAATGGATTTCGTCTTCGGGTTACCCAAAGACGCACGCGGGAATACGGATATTCTCGTATTTGTTGACATATTCAGCAAAATGGTACACCTCGTGGCTGTAACAGAGTCAATCACGGCAAGTGGCTGTGCTTGTGTCTTTATTGACACCATCTTCCGACTTCATGGGTTGCCCCGTGAACTCGTATCAGACAGAGATCCACGACTCACTGCTGATTTCTGGCGTTCCGTGTTCAAATCATTCGGAACGCGCTTGAAGATGTCTACATCTGATCATCCAGAGTCAGATGGTCAGACGGAACGTGCCAATCGTGTCCTTGAAGAGATACTTCGAGGATACGTACACTCCTTTAAGAGTTGGGGTGAGTTCTTGCCAATGGTAGAGTTTGCCATTAACAACTCGGTGCATGCGTCCACGACACATACACCGTTTTACGTGAATGGCTTGCGCCATCCGCGTGTATCCTCCTTACTCGAGTGTAATTCTGGTTTAAGGGGGGGAGGGACTCGCGCGAGCGAAACCGATTTGGTTCACGCTCATAACGCTCTGACGAAGAGGTCATTGCGTTTGATGCCGATATCGATAACATCGATATCGAAGAAGATGATGCCAGTGAGAGTGCGGAAGCCCTCACTGAAGAAAAGGTTGATGTTGCTGCAGTGCACCCACAGCGCACTGAAGCTAACGAGTCATCAGATGAGTTCATACTGGCTCGTGAAACGGTAGTCCGTTTTGTGCAAGACCCCTTCGCCGAAGCGGTGGATAAGCAAAAGCAAAACGCTGATAAGATTGGAAGAGCAAACACTCTTTTATTTAATAAAGGTGACTTAGTCCTACTGTCTACGGTTAACCTACCAAAGCGTGTAGTGACTAACTTGGGTAGTAGTAAACTTCTACCCAAGCACATCGGCCCATTTCGTGTATTGCATCGCCTAGGCAATGCATACACGATCGAGTTGCCACGTAAGATACGAACGCATCCCATGTTTTACGTTGGTCGGCTTAAGCCGTACCATCAGTACGCTGCTTCTTCCGATGAAGAACGCCCTTGCGCTCAAGCATCTCGCAGAGAGCCTTGTGCTCCCGATAATGGGCATCGACAAGGGTCTGAAGAGCAGTTATCTCAGCACGAGACCGCTCAATAGCCCCACGAGCTACCCTTAGCTCGTCACGAAGAGATGTCAGCGCTCTCTAGTTCTCAAGCTGAGCAAAAGCATACTCAGCTCGATGCTATAAAACAGTGTCCGCCAGTTGAAGACGCCTGTCCTGCTCATGCTTGAGGTCGCCGCGCAACGCAAGAGTTACGTGATCAAAGAATCTCTCGGGAACACACGCTTCCCCACGATTGTGTGGAGAGTGTTTTCCATCCTCCTCCACTCCATTAGAGGACCTCGCGGTGGCCAGCGCTATCTTGTTGAGCAGCTGTTGAACCACCGCGATGTGAACGGACGTCGGACGAGTTATCTCGTCCGGTGGTGCGGCTATCCCCTGTCCTGGGATACTTGGGAGCCCCGCTCCCGACTGATGATCGACGTACTGGGTCTGGTCGAGCAGTACGACGCGGCACATCCTGTGCCGCAGAAGGACCGCTGGAGAAAGTCTTCCCGGCAAGGTCGTAAAGGGATTTCAGGTAGTCAATCCCTTTGTACATCTCACTAGAGATACGTACGCGCCACCACGGGCTAGTAAGGAGGTAAGCCTCCTTAGGTGCGCGCGTAGAGTTGTTCACACAACATGGGCAAGGGTCTCCCCAAGAGAGGCAGGGTAATCATTTCTCCTTTGACAGACGATGCAGCTTGTAGCGTGCACCTGTCGGGGTTCGCTTTTCAAACTTATCACGAGCTTTGATAAGTTTGTCGTTCCAAACGTAACGAACTACATCCTCAAGGTTATGGATGTAAGCGTTCCACGCCTGAAGCAATGAGGGACCATCACGTTTGTGATTCCCACTGTACCATCGATGTTTAAAGAAAGCATCGATGAAGAACTCATTCTCAGTGTGATAGTTTTTCGCACTGGGGTCAAGGTGATGGATCCTTGACGAATCGAACAACCGTAGTTCGATAAAGATCACTCGTCGTCGCTGACAAGTGATCCATGACAGATTTTGGAGGCAGCGATGCCTTCTTCTCAGGGGCGAGACGCAAGACACTGCAGTCCCGCTCTTCTTGCGAAGTGCCGACAGAAGTACTGGCACCTCGTTGCAAAGTGGTGTCAATAGGAGAACCGACACCACTGTGAGCGCCCGAGTCTTGCGACTTCGAGCGCCTTCGCTTCGGCGATGGTTCATCTGATTCATCAGATGAACCAAAGATGCTGCGACGCATAGCATCATCCATGCCACGCTTGGCAGGCGGCTTGGTTTCGATCGCCGTCGATTCAGATCCATCTTCCGTATCAGGAGAGTATGAGACACCAAGCTCATACTCTGTGAAGACATGTCTTCATGACCAGCGTCTGCATCACCAAGTGACACAGGCTGGGTCGCTTCAGCAACCGATGACACATCAGTTGCTGTTGTTTCTGCTTCGGCGTCCGCACAGAGACGTGCGGACGCGCTCTCGGCGGCCTTGCTCGCGCATCGCATGGGCTTGTTAACCATGCGATGAGATGTTGGAAAGTGGACGCGGACCAACAAGTGCAAACCCTGTCCCAAATGATTTGGGACGAGTATCCATTAGTCATCAGTCACTAAAGTGACTCATGGTTAAGGGGGGGGTGATGTAACGGGGTGAATCGTTACATAACAATTTATAAGAAATTGTTAATAGAATATAACTATAAGAGTTATATTCTCAGAATATTGTCATAAAGACAAATATTCTGTAGCACTTACGAGTAGTTCCTAATTGGTTGATATAGGCCATTATATGAACCAACGAAGACGCGCCACGACAGACGCACACAATGAGTGGTGAGCAGATAGTTGACAGGCACATTTGTATTCAGATTTAGTTAGATGAGGATAAACAGTGGTTTATTAACAATTTCCACTATGATAAATACAGTTCTACTTTTTACTTTAACCAAGTACTCGCTTCTTCCTACCGTCTTCCCTCTGCACGTACGGGTGTACGTGAAGTTACGAAGCACCGCCTTATTCTGTCATCAGAATAAGTAGCTTGTACTGTCACCAGTACAAGCACCAGGGTGCCCCGTTACACCTGCAGTTTCGGGACCTCGTTTTGGCGATTGAATTGCGTCAGCACCGATATCAAATCTTCATACAATTCCACCTCAAAGCGCGGAGTCTGGGGCGGCGCGCCCTGGTGTTACAGCACAAACGTCCGCACAAACTCCGAAATTTCGCCGTCCGAGAGACAACGCATCATCAACGCGTACAACTGCTTCGATGAGAGATGGCAGCCCTCGCACTCCATGTTGTACGCAATATGCAGCGTGCGCTCAATCAAACCAATGGTGGTGCCGAGATCAATTAGCGAGATGTACAGCCCGTCTGGAATCGCCAGCTCGTTTGCACTCTGCTCACGCAAGAGCGAGAAACACATGTCGATACCGCACGACCCGTACAGTGCGTTGAGGACGTAGTCAGAGAACATCCTGTCGGTAGCAACACCTTGACTCGCCACGTCTCGTAAAACGTCTCCCACAGCCTTCAGTCACCGCGAGATGCATAATAGAACGCCACAGTCGTGAATGTCTTCACATCCTGAACGATACCATGCTCTCCCATTGCACCAATGAGCGCAACAGCATTGCCTACTTCACGACGGCGCATGTAGATGGACAGCAGCGATGTGAAAACCTGAAGATTCGATGTTAGCTTCCACTCAAGAAACACGTCCATGAGATTAAACGCCTCCTCAAACGAGGCGTTGCACTGACTCTCCACCATCTCAAGCATCGTAATATGCCGGGCACTATCAACGAGTTGTTCAGCATTTCCGAGAACAGCTCCTTGGCTTGGTCCAGTCTATTCGTAGCGGCAAAACAGCCAAGCACATCGTTATAGTTTTCTACCTCTAGTGTCCAGGCACCTGCAAGCTTCTGTTCTGTCCAGAATACCCCCGTCCAACACTTCTTCAAGGAACACTGGATCCAAATGCTTGTGACAATAGTGAATCGCTGATCCGAATCCAGCACTACGAGCCACACCTCGAGCTACCATTCAGCGGAACTCATCTATAAACGTGGAGAAATCCTCGATCTCCGTACATGCTTTCAACACGTTGACGTATACATTTTCATCAGCTGGCAGCACTTCATCCACGATGCCAACCCTCTCTGCACCTTCGTCGATCGCGTCGTCTACCGGTAAGTTGTCCTTAGCACAAACGAGCCTCTCTCGTGTGCTTTCCATCACTTCATAACAATGCAACGCCAGCGAATATTCATCAAGATTTACACAGCAGTGAATCGCATCTCCAAAGCCTCGCTCGAGCACTCGTGTCCTCACTCTCTCCACCTTGCCTCCTGCTGCACGGCGCGTTCTCTCCACATAGTCCGAAAACACGTGCACCACATTCCTCGGACTCTGTTGTGTGTACACACTTGCTTTAAACAGTTCAAGGAACCCTTCTTGCTGGAAATCTTGCACTGGATCGAACGCAGCACTAGCAAACTACGCGCGTGCAAGCGCCAGCACTTGACCGTGCTTTTTCTTGTGCATCATCTTGGCCATCAAGTAGCCAACCACTGATGGCGGCATCAGCGCTTTACTCTGCTCGCTCCACCCCGTCGTCAATGTCTCGTCTGTAGTAGTAGAAGTAGTAGTACCAGAGCAAATCTCCGACCACAACGTCTGCTGATACAGCAGCAGCTCGTGAGCATCTGCAAACATCTTGATATTGGCACAGCCATGACCACGTCTACGAGCACGCGGGCTACAAATTGCGGTCCGTGTCTCCGCTTCAACTGTCTCAAGAGCTCCTGCATCTCATCCGTTCGAAACCCGCGTAAAGAACGCTGTCGTCACACTGTAAAAAACAAATCGGTCCACATGGGTACACTTTGCATTTTCGCGACTACAACTCGCGATTAAACCCAAGAGCTCCGCTGCCACGCGTTCGTCTTGAGCCTCCGGTCGTCGCTGCAGTGCCACGTTCCACGTCCGGACGTCAATCGTCGCCAATAGCGCCGTCTCGTCAATGGCGCGCAACGCGCGACAAGTGGCTACAAAAGTCGTGGGCGGCGTTTGATTGGACAATAGAACGTTCAATTGGTTCCGGACTGCGGAGCGTTTTTTCGGCGGCGTCTGATTGACCGGCGACCGCGCGCGGACGCAGCGCCGAAGCGCGTGGCGAGGACCGATCTTGTCGACGCGGCATCACACGGTCCTGTGCATTAACAGCAACGGCGCAATAGATTTTGGCTTAGCATTCGCGTGGAAAGGGAGAACCAAGTGCGCAGTCGTTGTGGGTTTCCAGACTCTATTGTGTAGTTAAGATTCTCACACAATCTACTTCTGATCTCACCACACACTGCGTACAGATCCCCTTCACTATCTCAGGAGTTCTACAAGCTGCAAGCTGCACACTGTCTCCGCTGTCACTCTTCAATCTGCGGTGAATATGTAAGGGGTATGAAAAGGCACTCACTGGCGTCCGCCAGCATCTTTCGAACGACTGACACAAAGCCGTCACGGAAACGGGGCGCCCTGAAGCTTGTACTGATGACAGTACAAGCTTCTTTTTCTGACGACAGAATAAGGCAGTGCCTCGTAACTTCACGTACACTGGTACGTGCAGAGGAAGACGGTAAGAAGAAGCGAGTACTTGATTAAAGGAAAAAGTAGAACAGTATTTATCATAGTTAATGTCTGCAATAAACCACTGTTTATCCTTATCTAACTATGTCTGAATACAAATGTGTCTGTCAACTATCTGCTCACCACTCGTTGCGTGCGTCTGTCGTGGCGCGTCTTCGTTGGTTCATATAATGGCCTATATCAACCAATTAGGAACTACTCGTAAGTGCTACAGAATATTTGTCCTTATGAAAATATTCTGAGAATATAACTCTTATAGTTATATTCTATTAACAATTTCTTATAAATTGTTATGTAACGATTCACCACGTTGCATCACCCCCCCCTTAACCATCAGTCACTTTAGTGACTGATGACTAATGGATACTCGTCCCAAATCATTTGGGACAGGGTTTGCACTTGTTGGTCCGAGTCCACTTTCCAAAATTCATCGCATGGTTAAAAAGCCCATGCGATGCGCGAGCAAGGCCTCCGAGAGCGCGTTCGCACGTCTCTGTGCGGACGCCGAAGCAGAAACAACAGCAACTGATGTCTCATCGGTTGCTGAAGCGACTCAGCCTGTGTCACCTGGTGATGCAGACGCTCGTCATGAAGACACTCATGTCTTTACGGAGTATGAGCTCGGTGTCTCATACTCTCCTGATACGGAAGACGGATCTGTATCGACGGCGAATGAAACCGAGCCGCCTGCCAAGCGTGGCATGGATGATGCTTTGCGTCGTAGCATCTTTGGTTCATCTGATGAATCAGATGAACCATCGCCGAAGCGAAGGCGCTCGAAGTCGCAAGACTCGGGCGCTCACAGTGGTGTCGGTTCTCCTATTGACAACACTTCGCGACGAGGTGCCAGTACTTCTGTCGGCACTTCGCAAGAAGAGCGGGACAGCAGTGTCTTGCGTCTCGCCCCTGAGAAGAAGGCATGGCTGCCTCCAAAATCCGTCATGGATCACTTGTCGGAGACTACGAGTGATCGTTATCGAACACGATTGTTCGATTCGTCAAGGATCCATCACCTTGACCCCAGCGCGAAAAACTATCACACTGAGAATGAGTTCTTCATCGATGCTTTCTTTAAACATCGATGGTACAGTGGGAATCACAAACGTGATGGTCCCTCATTGCTTCAGGCGTGGAACGCTTACATCCATAATCTTGAGGATGTAGGTCGTTACGTTTGGAACGACAAACTTATCAAAGCTCGTGATAAGTTTGAAAAGCGAACCCCGACAGGTGAACGCTACAAGCTGCATCGTCTGTCAAAGGAGAAATGATTACCCTGCCTCTCTTGGGGAGACCCTTGCCCATGTTGTGTGAACAACTCTACGCGCGCACCTAAGGAGGCTTACCTCCTTACTAGCCCGTGGTGGCGCGTACGTATCTCTAGTGAGATGTACAAAGGGATTGACTACCTGAAATCCCTTTACGATCTTGCCGGGAAGACTTTCTCCAGCGGTCCTTCTGCGGCACAGGATGTGCCGCATCGTACTGCTCAACCAGACCCAGTACGTCGATCATCAGTCGGGAGCGGGGCTCCCAAGTATCCCAGGACAGGGGATAGCCGCACCACCGGACGAGATAACTCGTCCGACGTCCGTTCACATCGCGGTGGTTCAACAGCTGCTCAACTAGATAGCGCTGGCCACCGCGAGAGTCCTCTAATGGAGGTGGAGGAGGAGGAAGACGCTCTCCACACGATCGAGGGGAACCGTGTGTTCCCGAGAGCTTCTTTGATCGCGTAACGCATGGGTTACGCGACGACCTCGAACATGAGCGGAATAGGCGTCTCCAAATGGCGGACACTGTTTTATAGCATCGAGCTGAGTATGCTTTTGCTCAGCTTGAGAACTAGAGAGCGCTGACATCTCTTCGTGACGAGCTAAGGGTAGCTCGTGGGGCTATTGAGCGGTCTCGTGCTGAGATAACTGCTCTTCAGACCCTTGTCGATGCCCATTATCGGGAGCACAAGGCTCTCTGCGAGATGCTTGAGCGCAAGGGCGTCTCTTCATCGGAAGAAGCAGCGTACTGATGGTACGGCTTAAGCCGACCAACGTAAAACATGGGATGCGTTCGTATCTTACGTGGCAACTCGATCTTGTATGCATTGCCTAGGCGATGCAATACACGAAATGGGCCGATGTGCTTGGGTAGAAGTTTGACTACTACCCAAGTTAGTCACTACACGCTTTGGTAGGTTAACTGCAGACAGTAGGACTAAGTCACCTTTATTAAATAAAAGAGTGTTTGAGCTCCTTCCAATCTTATCAGCGTTTTGCTTTTGCTTATCCACCGCTCGGCGAAGGGGTCTTGCACAAAACGGACTACCGTTTCACGAGCCAGTATGAACTCATCTGATGACTCGTTAGCTTCAGTGCGCTGTGGGTGCACTGCAGCAACATCAACCTTTTCTTCAGTGAGGGCTTCCGCACTCTCACTGGACATCATCTTTCTTCGATATCGATGTTATCGATATCGGCATCAAACGCAATGACCTCTTCGTCAGAGCGTGATGAGCGTGGAACCAAATCGGTTTTTGCTCGCGCGAGTCCCTCCCCCCCCTAAACCAGAGTTACACTCGAGTAAGGTGGGTACACGCGGATGGCGCGCAAGCCATTCACGTAAAACGGTGTTATGTCGTGGACGCATGCACCGAGTTGTTAATGGCAAACTCTACCATTGGCAAGAACTCACCCCAACTCTTAAAGGAGTGTACGTATCCTCGAAGTATCTCTTCAAGGACACGATTGGCACGTTCCGTCTGACCATCTGACTCTGGATGATCAGATGTAGACATCTTTCCAAGCGCGTTCCGAATGATTTGAACACGGAACGCCA